GAAAGTTAGACCTGCACCATTCTCTTCAACGTCTCTTAAAATCGATATAAAACAGAATATACGAACCCTTTTGCGAGTGAACGAACTCCGGAAGAAACAGTATTAATCATTTATCAATGCAAATAATACTTAACTCGTCATAATCATTTTTAAGCATTATGCAGTGAAAGTAGAGAGCCAGTGAAGAGAGAAGGCTTTTCTCTCATATTGGCGAGAGGGACAAAATTCGCTGTATTTTTAGCGCGCTCTAGCGACTTAAAGAATCGTGAGAAAAATTGATGTTAACGGGTGCAATTTTCATCAACTTGAATTTTCGTTATTATAATCAATAGCAAAGTTGTGGAGATATACGCAAAAAAAAAAATATTGCAATTTTCTTTGTGAAGCCGAAATTTACCGAGGTGGCAAACCCCGAATTCAAATTCAGCACCCCAATCATTTACCACCAGTGACAAAAATCTTCCGGATTTTTTTTTCTGGGCCGGATACCAAGTGTGGACTCTTGTGGGTATAAGGAGCTAAGTCCCTGGACACTATAAACTTTTTCTTCTGATTTCTGGGTACTGAGAAAAATAAATGTTCCAGTATCAGGGGCTATATCCACATTTGGCTAAAATATATTTAGCTGAAGGGCTATTCAATGACAACACAAGTGTCGGCGTTTTGCTGAGATACATTAAAACTAGTGGTGCAATAAAGATCACATACTTTTTCACATTATTTCTAAATTTGCAATTTTCAAAAAGTTACAGAGTGCAACGAAAATCAGACCCGCGACATTCTTTTAAGGATCCCTTCTACTCGAGTAAAAAATAAAAATTTGGAGCCTTTTTAAGAAATATTTAATTTTTTAAAAAGTGCCTATATTTCGTGCCAAATTACAAAAACTACTCATATTTTCGAAAAATTAAACATGGACTTATTTAAAGATTTACCTTCAAGGAACAGATTTCATTAAAGAAAAAAATCTCTCACTTCAATATTATAATTGTTGGAAGATGTCCAATCAAGCTATGTGACTGAATCGTGACTGAATCGTCGACTCAGTTCTTCTGACTCGACGAGTAGTTTGCGACGATCATCTTTACGAGTGGCCATCACACTGCTTTACTTACCTTTGCACTTCACGCAAGGATGCGCCATTGAATAACGTAATTGAATAATGTAAGCACAAACAAGTTGCAAATAGAAGTAACAGTGTTATCACAAACTCACATTCAATTTACAATTTTCTCCTCTGACTTTGTAAACCACTGTTGGCGCAAGGCGCAACCTACACTTCATGCAACGTTTTCCGCCAATTTATTCATATAAAAGGAATGAAATGTAAAAGACTCACACGTTTTAGAAGTAGGTAATTTACAGCCGTTTTGTAACAAACCCTCCTTTAATGAAAACTTTACAATACCAAAATAAAAACTATCCACTGGAAATAGGATATTGTAAATTATGCATACACAAAATTTATTTCACCAAAAAAGTAATCAGATTTAATGCAGTTTTTTATACAATCTTCTTCGTGGAATCCTAAAAAAGAAAATAAATTGAAAGACTTGACTTTAGTGACGTCTTTAAGTCTCTGGTAAGTCTAGGAGCGTGAATATATGTGAAAGTGAATATATAAGAAATATAATAACTGTTTTGAGTGTTATTTAATAAAACTCAACGAGACTATCAACTTTAAACTAAGTAACAAACAGACGACAAGGCAGTGCAAAATCTAGTTCAGGTCGCAATGGAGCCTATGCCACTAACTCTTGATTTCTGAAGACGAAACCAGAGTAAAAGGGTGACAAGGGTGCACATACCAGTTGTGTTTTTTCTACAAAATAGATTCACATGAATACATCACTAAAATTCACATCTCAATACGTCTTTCACACAGTGTTTCATTTATCACTACCATCGACATCATCTTCCCCCATTTCCTTTCCCTCCTCCTCATCTTCTTCAACGAGAACTTCATCATCACCACCTTCTCCTTCATTATCCTCCTCTTCCTCAACTTCATCTTTCGCTAAAAGAGAATGATAAACTTCTTCATCGGTTGTTACATCTTCCCCTTCAGATTCCTTTCCTATCTCATCAGGTACGAGGTAATACTGCAGAGGATTTACCCACAAGTCATCCTTTATCACTTCAGCAATACAATCAGTATATGGATCACAATTACTAGCCAACCAGATGAAAAATGATTTTTGCTCAATCATCCTCTTTCTACCTTTACCGGCGTTCTTATTCCTGAATTTTTTTGCTACATCATTCCCTTCCTTCCATCGTATAGGAGTACTAAGAGCGAATGGATCACTAGATACGCCGAAATGGAATTCTTTCGTTACAACATCATTCTCAAAGTATGGGTTTTCATCAAAATATAAAATAATTCTATATCCTGACTTTATATCTTCAAAATCTTCAACCTCCAACTTCGAAAGATAATGTAAACAATCTTCTTCATCCTCTCCCAAAATTGTTGACATTTGAGGATGATTCACAAAGGCTGTAGCCCAAAAATTGGGTATTTTCTTAATGACGTCATTTCTCTTGTCAAAGTGCGGCTTTCTTTGCTTATTATATCTTTGCTCTACTTTCAGAATCGCTTCGCTGCCCTTCTCGTTTAGAGCATCGATTTTATTTTGACAATTGTCAATGTCTTGCAAGGCTTTTTGAGTTTCTGCGTCGTAATCTCTGCCATTATCACCAAAAGTGCTAGTCCCCTCGACTTTCTTCACTTTCTTGGGAGTAGCTCCGGATTCAGACATTGTGTGCTGAAAAGGCGAAGAAAACATTGATTCACATGAGATGTCTGAAGTCACATCTCGCTCGTACTCTATCTCTTACATATTTTGACAAGTTTATTAACTTGGGGATCTCAGTTTCGAGGGAATCTAGATTTGTAGTATCTAAATCTAAGATTTGTGGTATTTGGCTTAAGAATGATTTATTATCTAATGCCACAAATACACGTAGATATACGTTAAAAAAGTAATAGACGTCGGTTTGAAGGCAGCCGTTTTGTAACTGGAAAAGAATAGGACAATTTGGGTGCTACTTCAAAATTACATATGGTAATAAAGTAAGATTCATTTAGAACTCTCATCAATATACACTTTCACTTCATTTATCTGAAACTGCGTTCTCAAAGTATGAATTTGTATCAAAATATAAAATAATTCGATATCCTGAATTTATCTCTTCAAAATCTACAACGTCCAACTTCGAGGTTACTACCATTGGGAGGCCTAAATCGAGGGCGCATTTAGAAAGTTTCCCTAGGTCGTCAATAAAAAGGAGGCACTATTTCATAAAAAAACAACATTATTGTATCAAATAAAGCACACGTTTCACTATTTTCCCTCATAATCTTCACCAGAGGTGAGGCAGAGTCACACCGTGGGATAAACATTTGTATCCATGTGTCGTATCGTAAAAATCTGCCATTCATCATAGTTACCAGTGAACTAAATGGGTGTATGATTTTGTTCTCCTGTGTACGTTCCGAGTAACTGAAATATACCTTAATTTTTTGGCTTGAAAACAACATCAAGAAATAATTCAAGTAAAATATTGTAAATGAATGCATAAATCGATAACGAGAGGACTTTAGAAGCAAAAATTCTCGTTCAGTGTCAGTGCAATAACAGATCCTTATTTCAGTCCCTTGAAACAGTTACGTCGGCATTACCCAAGAACTAAGTGATCATCTACTGTTCAAACATCGTATAGCTGCTCTACCCGCTATACATACTAGGTTATGAAAGTGCAATGACATTCCCCGTGACTGAATATAATAGTTGGTTGAAATTTAATGACTCAAATATTGTCTTGTGCCAAGAGTGAAGTATGGCAGAGATTAATTTAACTGAGACTGTGAACAGTCATAGCCTTATCAGAAATCATGAAACAAAATTCTTAAAATAATCATGAGCGTAAAGTACATTTACGAGCTACACAACTCCAAAATTGTATGGCTCAACAACGGTTTCAACATCAAGAACAAGTTATTTAAAACAGAAAATAAGTGAATTACAGCAACAACTATGTCTTCGGAAATATCCGGAACAACGTCGGACCACCAAAGCAACAGAAGAGCAATATCAAGTCTTCTCAATCTATTGAAGAAATAGGTGGAAGAAACTCAAACTTTCAAACAACCAACACATACTCAACAATTAGAAAAATCTTCAAATAAAAATAATACAATTAATCTCAAACGCAAAAAAATGACCAATGCAATAGAAGACGTAATCGAATATAATGTACCAGCATCGACACGCTATTACGTAATTGGCAATATTATCTTACAGAAGAAAGAGCCACTCTTTCAGACGAAGGGAAAATTCTTCCCCTCTTTATACACGGGGATAAAATTACACGCTACTGGCAGATCTGAAGAAGATGCCTACTGGAGATTTTACAACAAAGCTCGTGAAAAGACTCGGTGAAGTGATGTTTAGAGAAACAGATGACTTTAGAATTTACCATAAATTTTGTAAAAACAAAACTATTCAGTTTTACTATTTTAATGGCGTATCTAATCAAGCTTACAAATTGTTTTGAAATACTTCAAAATAAAGTTACCTACATTGTTCAAAAATAACATTCGAATAATAGTTTGAAAGGCTACCTTCAGAGCCACTCGGCAGCGCCATGATTAAATTATCAGTTTGGTACAAAACAGACAGAAATTCGCAAGTCGGAATAATAATATTTTTTTCAGACTTTTCTGGGCAATGATAGTCACAATATCAGTTTACTATTCTGTAATACTGACCCTTGAATCTTGGGACAATTTTAACAAGGAAGCTGTAACATTTGTAATAGACACCAACTATTTGGAATGGAACACTTCATTTCCTGCAGTCACCATTTGTGAAGAGAAGAACTTCACACGTTTACTTCATTATTGCCAGAAGTAAGCCTTCTTTCTGGAAAGTTTAAGATGAAATGACTTTTTTACATTCTCTATAGAATAATCAGGTAATGTATTTATTTGCAGAATGATCGGTATCACAGGAGAAGATTTTGATGACATTGATTGTACTCTAATGATGGGTGAGATAGTCTTCTTTGAAGGCGTGTGTACCTTCTGCAAGAATGATGATTCACACCTACAGAAGCTCAAGGAAGATTATTATCATTTGTCCCAAAATGTAAGTAACTTTCATAACTATTTTCAACATTAAGTAACATTAACGCACTTAGCCTACAAAAACAATTCTCGTAACATCAGAGAGCACATTAATATAAATCGAGTCGGCATATCCCGCGCGTGGACGGCGATTAAGTAGCCCTTGTAAAACCCTACTACACACACGCAAAAGCACTTCGACGCCACGACCCTTCGAGTCAAACTTACATTGTAACGTAGCAAAATTCGCGTATTTTTGCGAGGTTTTTGGGGACTTTCGTAGCATCACCAAGAGATACAGTTAAAATCAGGCTTATTGCAGTCTAAAATGTAGCGATATTTATAACAAAGCGATATTTTTCTCTTTTTTACAGTTTTGTCTCAAAAGAAATGAGTGGGTTTTCAAAATAAACGCATCAAATAAACCAAGGACAATACATTTAGTCGGCGCAAGGTCATTTGGGGGGGGGTCCCCACGTCAACGCCTCTCCTCTCCCCTTTCTTATCACTAGTCGCAATTATATGTCCAAAATTTATGACTATATACTGGGGAATAGAATGAGACGTCGTAGTGACAAGTGACGGAATTGACCCACGTAAATAACTTATCTCTTCTAAATCTAGCCCTACTCTTACACCTTTTCTTGTTCTTTTCTTGTTTCAGATCCGACTGACATGCAAAGAGGCATTTTATGAATGCAAATGGAAAGGGAAAGCGTTTAATTGTTGTGCAGTTATTACTATTCTTAGAACAGAGTTTGGGCCATGCTTCAGCTTTAATTCTATACAAAGCATGTAAGACAACTTAATGATTCATAATCAACAAGGAATAATACCCGGATTAGAATACTACAGTGAAGTTTTACTCTAACCTAATACACAGAAGCAAAAATGAAGCATTTAACTGACATCTGACACATCAAACTTGGTTTATCTAAAGACAAATATCACTTATGTATATTTATTTTATTTATTTACGTCAAAAATAGTTACGCTATGGGGAGGTTAAATTGAAGTTACATTTATGACCAAAAGCAATGCTCATGGATCAGGGAAACTGGACGAAAACATCATTGAGATGGGGGTCATTGACCCAGAAGCTGGAGTACAATACCTGTTATAAGTTCTTTAGAATTATACAATCCAATTGATACACTAATGATGTTCGGTAGAGTCTCTAATTGTATAGAAACAGTTGTGCAGCAGAAAATATTTTACTTGAGACTAACTTTTGTATCGAATTTAATTGTTTAATGTCTAAAAGTCAGGGAGCTATAAGATGTATTTCCCCAGAATATTATATATCAGGCGAGAATGAACATTCGCGAAATATACACAACAAGCAGCATGGAGGCAGACTGAATTTGAAAGAATTCTGAAAGCTTAGCATAAAGAATGTAATTTAATGTTCAGTTCATTTAAATGGACGATCCATTTCAGGTTTGACTGAATTGAAAGATCTAAAAATGTTGTTACCTTATTGTTAACATCAGTCAATGGCACACCGTTCATTTTCAATGGAGTACAGAGCTGTTTATTTGAAATGGCAAACTGCATTGAAACAGTTTTCATTTCATTTACTATTCATTTGTTATTACGGAACCAATTAGAAATATATGATATTGTACTATTTACGGTTTCTTCATTGCAAAGAATATTCGTATCATCCGCAAAGAGAACTGTTTTTCCGTTTCCAATCGTCGAGGGCATATCTTTTACGTACAGTAGAAAGAGAATAGGGCCTAAACTCGATCCTCGCGGGACTCCACATGCAATTGGCAAAGAATCGGAAAGGTGTGTACATAATGTTCCATTATTCCAGTAAGGTATTTCTACTCTCTGATATCGTTGTTTAAGATACGAACGTAACCAATCTAGAGCAATACCACGAATTCCATACGAAGGTAATTTTGAAAGTAAAATTTTATTATCAATGACATCAGAAGATTTTGAAAAGGCAAACTTACGCTTACGTTTAAAGTTTAACGGCTTAATCTTAGCTATTTTAAAAATTCCTGTGCATAAGGATACATGAAATATGTGAGGTAACGGGTGTACAATGGCGGGCGCACAAGTATTTAACAAACAATCCGGAAATTCATCTAAACCGGCCGAATATTTATTTTTTAGTCTACCGATTATTTTGAGAATTTCATTGGAACAAGTTTCGGAAACGAACATCGTGTCTAAATTTTTTGGGGAAATGTCTGACGTTTAATTTTGTGGCTGAAGACTTTTAGTAAGATCAGCAGCAGCTCTAGGAAAGTATTGGCTAAAGAGACTAGCCACTGTTGCCTGATCGTTCACATTTCTATCGTTATCTTTTAAAACAACATTATCTAGAAAGTTTTTAGTTGATTTGGTCGAATGTTTTACTATATTCCACATTGATTTTGTTTTATTATTTGAGTTCAAAATTTCCTAATAATGTTTCATGATTTTTGCCTGCCTTATGACTTTTCTTAACAATGATTTGTATTTTTTAAAGTAATGGAGGAAAACTTGAGATACGTGATGATGCTGAGAAATGAAAGAAAGAATTCGTTTGTTTTTACATGACGTGTTAATCCATTGTGTTATCCAAGAATTGCTTTTCCGTGAATTTTTTTTGAGAGGAAAACAAGTGTTAATATGAAATGAAAGCGTTGAAAAAAGAATATATCGTATGTATCTACTCATACCTGTATTGTTTAATGTGTCAGTGTTCGCATTTCTTTTAATGGTAAGAATTTGTGCATCATTATCACTGTATCCTACATCTTTGGTTTCAATTTTAATGTTATTGATGAAACAAAGTTGACAGTGTAACTTCCATTTTTCTTAGGGATTCTGTTTCCAATAATTTTATATCAAATACAAGAGACGGTCTGGGAAACCTAGAATTGAAAATCAATATGGATTTCAAGGTAAGCAACAACGAGACAAAAACATTAGCAATGATAAAAAACTAATTAAGTACAGTATCTGGATATTGTAGAATAGTATTCGGATTGTAGCCCACGATCCAGATTGTACGAGTACATAGTACAGTATTAGTATCAACCAAAATAAATTTTCAGTTCTTCGCTTAGTGCGGGAGTTGAATCTTTGGGATTGACAGCTACCGAGCAAATGGTGCGTTGTTGCCAAACGTTCAAGCACGCGATGTCTACCGCCTTCGCTACACCTTTTCACAGCACACCAACAACGGCGCGACACTGCGACCTTCATAGGAAGTCCAACTCATTGTTTACAGTTTATCAGGACTCATGTTTCATTCGGGCCCGAGACTCGGCGCGACGCCCACGCTCGTATCCGAATCGTGTCTTTGGCCGTGCACGTGGCAATGTATACAATTCATCAACAACGCGGGTCGGCGGATGCTGACGTAACTGACACCTGATTGGCCCAGCGCACGCCGTCGCCAAGGAAACGTAGAGACGCCGCCGAACTGTCAATACCGAACTCTCATCTCCCACTGAATAGTAGCAACAGAACTGATCAACCAATATTTTTCAAATACATTTAAATCCAACGATGAATTCTGGCATTATGCTTGTATTTAATGTGTTTTCTTTGAGTATTAACAATATTGCATGATTCTAATAAATAATCCACAGTAAGTTCCGTAGACCAATCATACAAATACGAGGCCTAATACCAAAACATTCTACCAGACTTTACCCTGAAGGAACTGCTCTGGAGTATGGAGTTAATAATGATTTCTCATTTCAGCTCTTCCTACATGCACCTGACAGCATTCCTCACTGGACGACGTCTGAGAGCATGAGAACTACAGTAAAACGAGGCGAATTAATAGAACACATCATAAAAGTAATTGACACAACTAACGATAATGAAGTGCACGAATTACCTCCAGAGCAAAGACAATGCAATCTGCCGAAAGAAATTGATAAACATTTCCTGTACCCCTTCTACAGCCATTCTGCCTGTGCAATTGCTTGTCGCTCTAGGCATACAATGAAGATATGCAATTGCACCCTTCATTTCTTGCCTCAAACTTGTAAGTAGACCTAGAATATTTTAAAATATTTTGTAGGATTGCATTTGATAAATACAGTAGCAGAAACATCAAGCATAGTCCATCACTATCTATGGACGGGAAAATGAATGAATTCAACATATTGTGTATAATGAAAGAAAGTTTATTTATAATCTGGCCCAGCTCTCCCTCCTGCGATGCGAGTTTCATTCTTTATACATTACACAAACAAAATATGTTTTAATTCTGACTACGCAGTTGCCTTTCCAAATACTAGCAGAACCCGGCAGACGTCTGCCCTCCATCTCTCTTTCTTCTTCCCTGTCCGTCCCTACCCCTCTCTGTCCGTGTGTCTATCAGTTTCTCCCTCTGCGAGTCTGCTGCTGCTCTCTCTGTATGTCTCTCCCGGGAGAAATTTCACAATCGCAAAGGCAGAATACGCAATGAAGACGTCTTAATAATCGTACTTCAGGGCGCGGCAGGCTGCGTAGAGTCCTGTCCAGGGGCGCTTGAATGAGCATAAAATCATCAACGCGCGTCAATGTGCGGCTGGTTACGTAAAGCGCCCTGTTTAGGGACGCGTGAGTCAGCATAAAATCATTATCAACGCGCCTCTATGTTTGGAGGCATATGTACTCGCTTATCTTCTTCCCACAAATGCAAGCACTAAGTTTAATCGCAATCGGATGGACGGTACGGCAGTGCATTAAATACGAACCAACAAACAAACATTGTTTTTTCATATATTAGATGGTATATAAAATATTCTAACATATTTAGTGTTATTGCTATATGACTGTTCGAAGAGAGCAGGGTTCAGAAAATGATATTAATACGGAATCCCTAGGGGAAAACACATTGCGCTGTGTGATAAAAATATACAGCCTAAACAAAGCACATATTAAAAATAAAATTTAGCAAATTATTCAATATGCATTTTTGAGTTTTTAACAGCTTAATGTTTTAAAGAAAATATCTCCGTTTATATTCATTGATCACAATTATTTAACTATTATATCAATCACACAATCGATATCGAAATCTATTTTCCCATTACTAACTTTTCTTTATATTCAACTTTATTCTGGGACTAAAACTACCATAAAATAGTATCTAGGTATTCTGGCGCCTATGGCAAGAATTTGCTCCCGACAGGACACTTCAAATTAGGGTTGTTTTTAGGTATTCGTTTTAGGGGGGATTCTCTCAATAGTGCCCCTGGGAATGGCGCCTATTGTACGCGCCATGTCTGCCATAGGTAGATACGCTTCTGTCCATCAATGCACATTAAATTGTCTATGCTTTTTTTAATTTAAACACCTTATAGATAATACACATGAGACCATCTTAGTTTGTTTTCCGAGATTTCCCAAACGGTTTCGAATCTGATTTTTTGTTGACCCTCTCCCTCCTAACAGTCTTACTCTGCCCCGTGCCCCACGCGATTGGTGTGAATGAACTTATTCGTTATATCGTCAAACGAACTTATTATGTTATATAACATTGTATAAAATATTATTGTATACATTAAAACAGTATTTTCCCAAAATGTTACCTAATAGAAGAATGGAAGTGGACAGTACAGAATTACAGTACTGGTTATGAGTACTGTATAGAGTAGTATAGTGCTTTGAGTTATGTAATATATGTTCCACTATATAATTCATGTTGTTTTTAATCATATACGTTCTAAATAATAATTACCATTTAAAAAACGTAATTGTCCATTTTCCAAGCGACCCTTTCCCCTCACTTCCGTACCATCATCGGAACACTGCGCCCGCCGCCGCGTTGAGCAGTTCCTTGGATCCGGTGCTCGGTTCGGAGTAGGAGAGCAGATTTCTGTGACGACACTGAGCACTTAAGTTGGTAAGCATTGGTCTAGGCGAAAAATGCGGGTCTATTTTCTTCAGTTTTTCTAACGATTAAATTTTTACAATGGGGTAAAAAGTTTAAAAATGTATAAACAGCAATTGCCAAACACATCTAAAAACTTTTGATACCATCAAGCATTTCAAAGCAGTAGAAATTTGAGAAACCAGCATCATATAACGCATAGTTCGAAAGAGAATCCCATTTCCGTACCAAGAATTAAACTTCGTTCTCGGAATCTGCCGCTTTGTAAAAGAAGCGCGAGCAGCGCCGATGCATAGGCAGCTTCCAGAGGTCAGCATTTCGTCTATTGGGGGTCTACAATTCGGTTCCAATGATTGGGTTTCGCTCAGAGGACAAAATACTCAACACATTCCAGGCTATCCATTACTTTTCGCAGAGTGGAGCATCGGATGTTTGACAGTTAGACTCGGCAATTTTTCCGCCGCAGTCTTTGAGAGACAACAGAGAGAGCGAACACATGTGTGCGTGCATGTATGAAGTGTAGACGTGCGTGCATGATTTTTATTATTGCGCATCTCGCAAAATGATTAACGAAAGGACAGTTATTTTTTCTGTACTAATGGTGTGAGCGACACTATTTACCATTGAAAATACTGGTATAACCTTTATGAACGTGCATATCGAAAGAGACGTCATTTAAAAGCATTTAACCGGTATAAAAGAATAAAGGTATTTGAAAGAGGAATTGAAAAATACCGCCACTTTTTCCCGGTATTCAATACATTTTTGGTTCCTGAGAACAAGTACTGTACCTCAGTTTCTGGGTCATCAAGATTAGGTTTTTCGTTTACCACGCAGATTATACTTCTCTCCTATTAGTCGAGCCGATAAGTTATTTTACCTGGCAAAATGTGAGGTAGAAAATTTTATTTTTTATTTTGTTTATATTATTCTTAGCAAGAAAACTCTATGTTTTCCACCTCGAAATACTTCGGAACAAATTTTGGTACCCCCCACCCCCGCCAAAGAAAAAAAAGTTCTGGCATTTTTTTTTCTTCGCTATAACCTTTTAATAGTTTATCTTGGTATAAAAATGGCTCTGTACAATTTTAAAGGTCATAAAATTCTCTACAAATTTGCGTTATAAATTATTTCTCTCAAGCCAATAGTAACAGAGCTACGATATTTTAAAATTTCACCAATTTTTCCTTGTTATTCTGAAGTTGCCCCAAATAAGTTCTGGTAAGAATGGCAGTAGGCCTTTACGTTCTGGCAACTAATACAACTTACTTACATCAGAAGCTTTTCAATAGAATAAAATTACGTTCGTTTCTTCTTCTTTTTATTATTATTTGCGTGTCGGCCATTTCTGACCACGCTACACGTTCTTTTCCGAGCCCAGTCATATTCTATCCCGGAGAATGATTAACACGTGTCATAATGGAGATCAGCTTTTCCGCTGTATCCCTTGGTCAAACAAGCTTGTTAAGCCTTCAATTATGAGGTGATAGGATGATGAGATATGGTAGCGGCGTTTTTGGAGCCATTCCAGCATCCGCCTGTACGACCGACGGAAACCACGAAAACCCTGGTCAGGATGGCCGGCCCGGGGATCGAACCTGCGTCTTCCGACTGCGAAGTCAGTACGCTACTCTCTGAGCTATTTCGCTCCTTTAATTAAAATAATAATAGTTGTTATTATTTACAATCACAAGAACGACTGCCCTATCTACAAAGACATTTTGTGCACAAAGTTATGAAGTTTTCTTTGAAACCACAAACGTGGATGAAAACCGTCAATATAAATGGTGCCAGAAAATAGCACGCATTGCTAACGAGGATTTGATCACACAAGAAGTATGGTACATTTCCTGACAAAAGAAATTGACAGACTGACACGCGGACGGACGTTTTGAAAAATACCATCTTTGCGGTATCTGGGTCTTTAAAACGAGTATTCCCTTTGAAATCTCGAAATCGATTTTCCGCAGCATTACATAACTTTATCTACACTGCGTATAATAGTCCACTCAAGCGTACGAATATGGCAAATAAAACCAGTTCCTAAATTAGGGGGGAAATCATCTAACATGTGGTGTAGCCAGAATTCCTTTTGTTGGTCCTCGATATCGAAATATCAATTGACGACAAAATGTCTCTCTGTCCGTCCATGTGGTATCTGTGAACGCTACTGGTGACTAAACCACGCGTATGATTTTCCAAACTGAAGAAACCTCTGTCCATCTGGCTGGAGTCAAACTTTGAGATTTTGAAGTTCTTTAAAACTTGGAAGAACTTTAAATGAAGCCTTCCAGATATTATCAAAATTGTTGAAAGTTTGGGCAGTTTTTTCCAAAACTAGCGTTTAAGCGCCAGTTGTAAATTGAAAATTTGAAGCATTTTCTCAACAAAAAAAAAAAAAAAAGAGATTTCAAAAAATTTCATTTGAAGTACTTCTTCCTTTTGTTGACGTGTAGCTCACGAACATTGGTTATGGACTGTTTTTTATAATAATATCTCTGCCTTTATCGCGAAATCGGCCGAACTGAGAATGGCGCCGAAAAACGTCACAGGTAACCGTAAGATTACATAATACTACAACTAACATTACAATATATGAGCGAAGAAATCAAACAGGGTACTCGGTAATCCTGTGGTGAACAAATGTTGCACCTCGTAAACATTGTTTTAAGCGAATACGATTAAAATAATTCATCATATTGAACTGAAGGAAGTACCATTAAATCTATTAAATCAGCGAAATGTGCAGTAAAAATGGTAAAAAATGATGAGTCAAAATCGACTAAAAATGCAAAAAAAATTACATAAAAGAAGCGGCAATGGTATAACGGTTAGCGTTTCTGACTTATGTCCAAGTTCGCGGGTTCAAACCCGATCGAAGCCGTGGATTTTTTTTAGGGCGAAAAAATCCTTCTTACGCCTTCCTCCGGAGGGGAAGTAAAGCCGGTTGTCCCATGTTAGTGGATTTACTTGCATGAAAAAGATCCTCAAGCCGAAATGGTGCTCCTGAGCTAAATTCAAATCGCCTGTTCGGTCGCCTAAGAAATACCTCTTTTCTCCGCTAGTTGGTGAAAGGAGCGTAGTAAAATTTGCGAGGTAGACGGAAGAGCGTGCCTAAAGGTCCGAGTCTCGCCACGTTAAATCAGGCATCAATTCAAATGAAT